TTCAATAAGAATAAAGTTTAATTAATTGGTATTATTTACTCTAAATAATATTTAATCTAGTTTAAATAATAAAGTAGTTACAACCACTTTCTCATCTACTATTTATTAGCATTATGTTTATAACGCAATAGTTACACAATAAGCGAATATTATTTATGTATAAATCATATTCGCTTATAATATACATATACAGGGTGTCCCATTATAAAACATCCACGCAAATTACTCCGAAGATAAAGGTGATAGCAAAAAATGACCTTAACAAACGTTGTAGGATTAAAAGAGGGCCAACTGAGGGTGACCTTGACTTTGACCTCGCAGTTGATTTTCAAGGTCATTTGAAGGTCAGAGTAATTTTTTAAATAAAAACTCCTATTTTTGATTCCAAAATCTAATAGCTGGTGTCAAGAGCTTTTCAAAACACTATAATAAAGTTATTTTTTATTAAGTACTTTTCGAGTTATGAGGCTTGTAAATTACAGTATTTTGACATAAAATACAAAATATCTTGTAAAACATTCAATTTTTGGGAATTTTACCTTAATACTTTTATGCATAAAATAATGAGACGGATCAATTGGTATAAAGAAAACACATTGGTTTTAAAAAAAAGTATGCAGTTGCAAATTACATATTTTTTTTTTAAAGCAACTATGTGTTTTCTTTATACCAATTGATTTGTTCTCATTATTTTATGCATAAAAGTATTAAGGTAAGATTCCCAAAAATTGAATGTTTTACAAGATATTTTGTATTTTATGTCAAAATACTGTAATTTACAAGCCTCATAACTCGAAAAGTACTTAATAAAAAATAACTTCATTATAGTGTTTTGAAAAGCTCTTGACACCAGCTATTAGATTTTGGAATCAAAAATAAGGGTTTTTATTTTAAAAAATTACTCTGACCTTCAAACGACCTTGAAAATCAACTGCGAGGTCAAAGTCAAGGTCACCCTCAGTTGGCCCCCTTTTAATCCTACAACGTTTGTTAAAGTCATTTTTTGCTATCACCCTTATCTTTGGAGTAATTTGCGTGGACGTTTTATAATGGGACACCCTGTATATAGAAAAAATCAAACTCCATAGTAAGACTGTAAATCTTTTGTGGAATTTGATCTTTTCTGTGCTATTTTTATTATTTTTATACTCACTTCCTTGATTTACTCGAGTATACTCGAACAGTATTATTATATTTACTCCGAAATATCACAAAGAAGCTGTTAATATTATATAACGGATCAATAAGTTTTTCCTAATTATACTTTTATATTTATTTATTTCAGTATCTTTATGGAGCTCAAATCGAAAAATGGTAGAGAGAATTTTTACTCCAAACAACTTACGAATCTACTCTAATATATTTGTAGATCAATCATTAGTACTTACGGGCGAATTAGAAAAAGTTGAACAAAATGGAAATGAAATTATACTTCTTGACTTTCTATATAGATATATTTTGAACATCGCGTGTGGTAAGAATAAGTAACTCTATTATCTTGTAAAATGTCTGCTTTTGTATATTATGAAACAATTTTAAAATAAGAATTGTGCTCAAAATACAATTTTTCTATATTTTCGTAAACATTTTTAAAATTTTAGAAAAACAAATTAAAATAAAATTGTGAAATTTCTCGTAATTTACAATTACGCAACTACAGTTAGTACCAAAAACGAGTTCAAACGTACATTATTAATAGAGTATTGATGTTAATTTGTCTTATTTGTATACATATATTACAAAGCATTATATAAAAAGTTATACACTTCCAAATTAAATAATATTAATGATATATAAAATATTAAAATATAGTTCTAAAATAAGGATTTAAAGTTTATAATTTATAAACTCATTTTTAACAAGTAATTAGAATAAGATATATATGTATACATTGATGTCATATATTCCAACTACTTATAAATTTACAGCAAATTTTAAAACTATCATTTTATACTTTTGTGTGTGTTAAATTATCATTTTTTGAAACAGTTAGAATTGAAACATAGTAGAATTAATAATATACTCCATAAAATATCTGTTTGCGTTTTATATGATAAATTGACATGAAAAATTGATAAAGCAATACGAGTGAAATGAAAGTAAATTAAGCCTAAATTATACATTTTATTTTTACAAAATTAAAAATTTAATTTTTGTTTAATTGCATCACAATAAAATCCCGTAATTTCACATAATTTCACATAATTTTATATTTGTGTATAAATACATTGAATACGTTTAGGAAACGTATATAGAATGAACATGTGCTACCTGGAATACATGAGAGTTGTCAACTCCAGAAGACTAGATCATTTTATATGTCTGCGTGACAAAATACAGATAGATAAAATCAATTAAAAATGTTAATCATGATAAATAATCATGGTAATTAATCACGGTAATTAGTTGACTAATATTTTAAATGTCAACATCACGATGAATGAACCGACAGAGTTAAAGCGAGAAATATGTTATTTTATTTCAATGATATTACGAAAACAATATTAGTAATATTACTGAAAAATGTAAAGAACAGATCTATCTCGAATCATAAGCATACAAAATGTACCTATAAAAGTAGAATAACTTATTGTAATTCTTTTTAAAGTTAATTTGTATATTTTTTATAAAACCAAATACGTAAAAATTGATTTAATTTTTTAATAAAATATGGAATAAAATTTTAAAAAAGTTTATAGTTTAATTCAAATAATCTGGATAATTGGCAACTCTCTACGTAAATACAGTTTATGTACTTAGATATTATAATAAATATTAATCTTTTTTTTTATGCGACGCTATAAAGAAAGTATGATGGACATTAAATTGGAACCACAAATCATAAACCGAATGCTTGAAATAATGATGAGGTATAAATTTTCTTTTAATTTAAGTTCTTATAATTAATATAAAATTTATATTGTAGATAAAATCTATTTAAAACATATATATATATA